ATAGAGAGTCTCTCTCTCTCTCTCTCTCTCTCTCTCTCTCCCTCTCGCTCGCTCTCATGATCTTATCTAAGGGTTGAGAAAAATTAGGGTCTGAGCCTAATTATTTTGGAATTAGGGTTTTGTAGAGATTTAAGGGTGGTTACCTAGTTTAGCGGAAATTAGCTTTCTCGGTTCAAGATTGAAGCTGAACCGTTGATCCCGTGCCATTGGATGTAGTGACTCGGTGTGGGGTATAAAAAGCCCGGTTGAGGTAATCTCAAGCATATTTTCTTTTAATTGTTTGTTTTTTTATTTTATATTCTCAAGCACAATATTAGGTTGTATGAATGGTATCAAGTAGTTGAGATTTATTTTATTGATGTGTTATTTATTTTTGGAATTTCTATTATTTGTAATAAGACCACCTGTGAGTGATCTTGTTGCCAAAATTATAAGACGTGATTATTACTAAAAAAAAAAAATTATATTTCCCCGGCATAAGATTACATAGGTCTTTCTTTCAGTTTTCACATCGTGTCAAATGCGCATTGATGAAAGTAGTGATTTTCATGGTTACTCTTGTGTGATTAGGGCTTGTTTGGATGTACTTAGTACTATTTATAGTTCATTGTCTTACAAAATTAATCTTGATAATGAATTATTGTTGTTTGGCAGTATCTTAAGAATGTATGGCCAAAAGGGTTTATTTGGGTCTAGGGGTTGAACGATACAAAAGATTGATACCTTATGCCGTAAGAAATTGAAATATTGGGTCTCTTGATAATGATTTGAAAAAACGTAGTGCAAGTAAAAACTTTCCATATTAATTAAGGGTTATATTAGGGCGCTTACGTTATAGAGCATTTTATAATTATACTCAACAAATTTTTAACACTTATATACTGTTTTTTTTAGTACAATGTTTTTTTAATAAAAGTATTTGTAGTCATTTAAAAGGATGTGATATCATCTACATGAGGTGTGATATCACTTATATGGAGCATGAAATGCCACTATAGAGCATTAAATGTCACTAGTGTACTTTACGTGAGTGATGTGTGGATGATGTTACACATATTTTAATGACCAAAAATACCTTTACTAAAAAAATATTCTATGTACAAAATAAAAATATATAAGTGTTCATATATGCTAGAAAATGGCAAGATATGCAACGAGCATGTAGTAGCATAGGGTTAGTAATTACTTATCCTAGGTGCCCATCTAGCTGTGTGTACATATTACCTGCATGTGAGGTTGTCTATATTAAGTAGAAATTTAAATGACCTCTCTCTCTCTCTCAACACATTTTTGGCCTTTTCAACGAAATTCTCTCTCATACAATTTGGTCGTGCAAGATCATCATACATGTTTGCCTTGTTCTAAGCTTCTAATATCAATTTTATATTATTAAGCTATAGTTAAGCGGCACTCATCAGAATATGATCCTACTTAGAGAAAGAGAGTTGGGGGTAGAGCACCTATTGTGGGAGGCCTCATGGAGATGGTTTAAGATCTCTTCTTGAAAACTCTTTCATCTAGACAAGGCAATGGTTTGTATGAGTTTTAGGAGTCATACGTAGACATGCGTCCCTTCTTTAAACTCTATTTTTGAGATCAATTTTGGACCTACTTTTTTAAGGTATATATGATTTTTGTCATGGAGATCATGAACACGTAAAAAAAAATAAGTTCTAAAAACTAAAAATGATACTCTTTGAGAAAAAATATCTATAGGACATTGATTTTTCATTTTTTTTTAAGAGGGAGTACCAGCTAACATCCATCTTTAAGATGGATGTCCTTTGCCTCAGGGGATGCAAATATAGATAGACGTACCCCCGATCCATAAACAACTTTTCCTTTAGATAAATCTAAAAAGGGAACTACCCTAATAAAAAAAATATCGGATCTTTATCTTATCCTATGCTCTTTCTGATGCAAACTATTATTTTGAAAAAAAAGGAAAAAAAAAATCTTCAGTAAGAAAATCTTATTGTTGAATTACCCATGAAATGAAACAATAACCTCACATTACGAGAAAGGAAAATTGTTTTATGCGAGCTGGACCTCATTTCTACAATATGCGGTCCAGAGGTATAAAGCATCCATCTTAAAGATGGATGCAAATAGGTCGTCTATCTGAAAGCAAGTGTAACAAACGGTCCAAATGTTTTTTTTAATATAATTATTATTTCTAGTTCTCAAGTAGTTTTATTTTATTATTATTTTTATTTTTATATTCATGATCTCCATGTTAAAGATTATATATTCTCTAAAACTCAAGAATAAATTATATTTAAAAATATATGTACTACCAAGCTTTGTATTTCTACAATATACGGGCTGGCCGTATAGAAACTGTATCCTTACGAGAAAGGCCTATTATTAATTTACCCAAAATATGAAACGACATAATTTTATCCAAAATATGTAATCAATTATAGGTTCTTTTTATGCCTATATTAATTAAAAATAAAATTGATATGGCAAGTTGAAATACTGAGTTAAGTGGATGTTGTAACATTCCCTTAATTGATAGCAGATATATAGTACCTCAGCTTAAAGGGCCTATATGACTATCTACAAATTTTATTTACAAATATTTATTTACTATGTATAAAGTTGATGGGGAGGTTGTAAAGCTTCGGGACAGTAGACCAAGATGGCTTGACTTTGAACTTAGTTATAGTTTTTTTTTTATTTTATATATATCTCGGTGTTGTCAAGTGTCAACACTTGTCTTTAAGTATCAATATTTGTAGACACACGGCATTTGTCAATAGCGTAAGCTTGAGCTCGAACCTTAGCATAGTACTTTTATTATTGTTCATTTAAACAACTATTACACACAGATAACTTACCACATGCTTGTGAATCTCTTTCACTAGAATCAATTGATGCTACATCTGTGAGAATGTAAGTGCACGTGTGTAATTATCAACGTCACGTAGACTTCACTATGTTTATATTGTCTTAGTTATATTCTAGGGGTGTATCTCTGAATTTTCTAGTCAAAGATGTTTGATATACCTTGACATTCTTGGATTTTAGGTATTTAAAAATCAAAGTTTTGGACATTTCTCTTGACTCCTTGATGTGTTACATAACCACCTTAAGTATAGCCAATTGTGGGAAGAATCGTACATTCCCTTAATTGATAGCCAATTGCACTTTCTCCTTAATTGAGGCTAGCATCATTTCTTAATTGTGATGAAAAGTTATTAATTGTTAAAAGCACGAGGGAGCCTAATACAAACCTCATCCTTAAAAATATTATAGATGATTTATGTTCCATCCTAAAATATAATTTTATTTCAAGCGTGTATATGGTGCATTTGGAGGCCACTGTTCCCTTCTTCTTTTTTCTTTTTTTTTTTTAAGTTAGTCGCCCATCCAAATATATATATATATATATATATATATATATAAATCAATTTACCTTTGATTCAAGAAAATTTGGTGATGGTGTTCACAACCAAAGGCTATGTCGAGGGTATACATTCAACTTCAAGATTTTGAAAGTATTTTCATTAATTTTTGCTGATTGTTTTAAAAAACGCAACATTGTTAGTGTTGGAAGTGGACACGGACTCGGCCCGACTAGGTCTAAGGTAGACCCTGACCTGACCTAGACCTAGGTCAAGTTCAAGTCAATTGGACCCAGACCTAATGTACTAAGTGGGTTCAGTTGGGTCCAGGCCTATGTATAAAAAAGTATTCAAAATTATTTACCATATAGCTAATATTATTTATATATGACTCTATTCTATTATATTAATATGTACGGGGTTGGGTCGGGCGAGGTCGGGTTAACACCAACCAAATAGGATCGACGGTGGACCCGGACCTGGACCTAAAGTCAAGTGCACCTAGATATGGACCCGACAAAGTGGACCTAGACACGGGTCCGTATCTACGTCCAGACCCGTATTGGGTCGGGTTAACCCATTGGATCACCCCTTGTGTTGGTATCCCATTATGAAGTGGACAAAGGCATGAGAGAGAGAGATGCATATTCAGTGATAGCAACAGGCCTGTGTCAAGAGCATGTCGAAACTCAAGAAGTCTCCATCACTGCTCGGCTTACCAAGCAGAAAGAGAGAGAGTAGTAGCTTTTCTTTGGGCAAACATTGCAGGAGACAGAGACAACAAAGCTTACTCAGTTATTGTTTGTTCATAATGGAGAGAGAGAGTTGATGCGAACATTGAAAAATGAAAAACACATCCAACATGTTTTCCTCATTAAGAATCAAACTTTGAATGGAGATATGAGAAACCATCCCATCCCATGAGAACCCAACAACAACACTAATAATAACTTTGCAACACATCTACGCTTGAGAGAGAGAGAGAGAGAGAGAGAGAGAGAGAGAGAGAGAGAGTTAGAGAGAGAAAGCTAAATGAGGGAGGGAGGGAGGCAGGCGAATTAGCATGAAAATAGTGGGCAGGTGTGAGCATTTCGGACATGAAGTATTGACTGAAGACACGGTCCAAGGCCACCCTACAACCCACAAAAAACACCGCCTTTCTCTCTCCTCCACTCCTTCCCTCCCCCCACCTCCCCTATTTAGACATTTATCCCCACGCTCCACTCATCCATTCTGCACTGCGGCGTTTCTCGTACCTGAGAAGTGCTGCATTGCCGGAATCCACCATACGTCCCGTCACATAAGTCCACCTCCGACAACCATCCCAAACCCTTCAAGATGGACAGGCAGCTAATCTCACTTGCCTTCATCCTTTTGGCCGCCGTGGCCTCCGCCCAGCCCCCCGCCTCGGCCCCATCGACCACCCCCTCCGTCTCCGCCCCATCAACTTCACCGGTCACGTCACCTGAGGTGGCTGCACCTTCGACCGTTCCAGTGTCCGATGGCCCCTCAACCACCCCCTCCGTGCCTGCACCCTCTACGTCCCCCACAGAGGGTCCTGCTGCAGATGTCACCCCCGTCGCCCCCGCCACTGCCCCTGTAGCCTCAGCAGACACTCCCGATGCCTCAGCCACTGCACCTGCTACCGGCCCCAGCGGTCCCTCTGCACCCACTCCCCACTCGGATGTTGGTGCTTTGTCCCCTGACGACGATGAGGCACCACTTGGGTCCCCCAACACTAGCCCACCTGCCCCACTCACCAAAGACTCCGCGTCCGGCCCCTCAGGATCTGACGCCCCCGCCTTTTCACCCGAAACCGATTTCAGCAGGGCTTCCTCCATCAGGGGCGGCGCCGGTGTACTCGCCTACGCCGCTGTCGCATGCTTCTTCATGTGAGCTGCTTAATGGTTAGACTTGGTGTTGGGTTTTCAGTGGGAGATTTGCGATCTTGTTTCTCTCTCTCTGTAATCGTCTGATTTTCTGGTTTCTTTCTAAGATAAAGTAATTTTTCCATTTATTTCCTGTCGGATTTTAATATGAAATGGTAATTATTGTTGTCGTTTACCTGCTGGAGTTGAATGAGAAGAACAATGAAAGAAATACATGGAAATGAAGACATGGATTTACGAAAGCATTTGGCTTTTAAATAGAGAATTTGCTTTCTAATTCTAAATTTGGTGTGAAAACTTGAAACTATGGTTTGCTCATTGGATTTGTGGAACTGTCATTTCTTGTTGGGGGATGCTTGATTGGTCTTCTGGAATTTGGAAATGTTCTGATTTTTAATGTGTTTTGTTATTCTTTTTCAAATAACAATTCTATCACGGGGGCAATGTGTTTACAATTTATACGCAGTAGATACCAAACTGCCTTTGTCTTAAGCCAAAATATTTCATTTTCCATGTATTGTGTATTCACTCCCTCGGGTAAAATCTAGTTTAGGGATAACTTTAAGGGGGATTGTCCATCTTTTGTACATGGAAGCAACAATCATTCTCATCCCTTAAATTGTAAAATGGGTGGTTGGAATTGTGTTATTGAATAGACACAAAATTCAAAAAACTTTCTCGAGCTTTGTGCCTCACTTTAAGCTATCTAATTTGACATCGGTGGAAATGATTATGACCGCTATATACAAAATATGAAGAAAAAAGTTTATATAGAGCCGAGCTCTAAACAATCAAATTAGAGCCTACCTCAAAAATTTCACTAGAAGAGGTTGTTTTGATGCTCAAATATCCTCAAATTGATCATCTTGACAAAAGTAAAAAAGTGGATTTCAAGTATTGAAAATAGTATCTTTTATAAGAAATTTTTGGACCGTCAATTTTCAAAATTTTCAAGCTGTCATAGATCTGTCGAGCTACACTATTTTTTAAGATTTAAAATTTATAAATAAAGATGAAAATACATTTTAAAGCTATCACAAATATTTTCAGTATTAAAACTATATTTCTCGATACTATTTGAAGATTTTCAGTATTAAAACTATATTTCTCGATACTATTTGAATGTAGGTTTTAATTTGATTGTTTAGAGCCTAGGCTCTATATAAACCGCACCCAAAGATAAATGGTCTCTTAGTAGACAGTCCCAACTTAGGACCTATATTTTATTTTACGGATGTGACTTCTACAATCATTGATCAACCTCAATAATCAAATAAATAAAAATTCAAATTGCACTCTTTATTCACTCGAAAAATATAGTGACTCAAGATTGAACATTGGACATCTAATATTTGAAGAACGAGATTTAAATCTTAGAGAACTCAAAATACAATTTTTTTTTCTTTTGAAAATAATCATCTAATGATTCATAGGTAGTTCTCAAAATTTCAGATCGAAAAAAATACTCCCGAGTTAGTTATCTAACTAAGAGAGTAGATGCATAGTTGCTCCCATGAGAACATGGAATGCACGCTCCTCTCTTAATATGTTTTACACTGATAGATACTACGCTGCCACGAGAGCATATGGTCTATTTTCTCCCTTTGGTAAAACCACATCACGAGCATATGGTTTATTTTCTCCCTTTGGTAAAACCACATCATGAATAGCATAATGTGCACTTTTTTATCTTGTTACATGAGATATATACTTTTTTCTCTTGTTACCTTCTACAATGGCAATATTTCAATATCAACTTTCCATCTTGCTACATTATACCATGCTAAAACTTTCTTTCTATAACTCATCTTCAAATTTGGCTTGGAGGCATTTGAAACCCGAGTTTGAAACAAAGATCTCGAAAATCATCTCATGCAGTCATTATATACAATGAAAGAACCACAAATTAATGTGGGCACAATTATCTTCTCAAAAGTTCCTCTCTCTCTACAATTCTTTAATAACCTCTTCAACCCATAGATTAACCTTAAACGGAAAAAAAATCCTAATTTTACCCTCTACATCCTTGAAAACAATAATGTCTCAAAATCAAATAGGAACTATCTTTTTTTAGTAGGTGAGATCTAAGTGATAGAAAATTCAAAATTATTTTTTAAAAACAAAAAAAAATGATCATCTAGTAATTATTAGATGATTCCCAAAAGTTATATATTAAAAAAAATCTCCGAAATTGGTCTTCTGACCGAGGAAGTAGATGTAACTCTTGCAAGAGTATAGTATTCGTGCTCATCTTCGACAAAAAAAAAAATGTCCTCTCTTTTCTTTTCTCTTCTTATAGCATTGCCTAATATTATTAATAACTAAAAAGAAAAATACATCACTTCAAACAATAAAGAAAAGTTACGACACTTCAAATAAACAAAGATTCAGAAACTTGTAAGTTTATCAAAGAGGCCCCTGGCTTGGCAACACCATTAGCAACATCATTAGCCACTCTACAAAGATGCTTAATAGAAATCTCCAATTGAGCAGTGATATCCATAACCTACATCCAAATTGATTTCAGTCTCCAACATGGTCTCACCTCCTAACGCCAATTATTGGCATTCTTAGAATCCCATTCGACCTCACAAAAACCATCACCAAATTTATTACTACCAATTGTAGTCCCTATAGAAGAGCTGCCAACTCCGCATGATTTGTTGAGATAAGACCCCACATAGTAAAATATCATTTCACTTACACCATTTCGAACCACTCCACCAATCATTGTTCGTTTTAGGTTTCCCAAAAAACTTCCATCATAATTTAACTTTACGGATCCAACCATTCAAGGTACCCACTTCCCTTTGGCCCTCACCTTAACGACATTGATGTTAATGAGATTAGGTAAATTCAAAACAATATCAGTCTTAGATGTCCTTCTTCCCTCCATAACTTCAAATCTAACTTCATACATTCTATATAGTTTTGTTTTTAACTACCTCAATATCTGATATCATTGTTATCATCATTAAAAAAAAATTCTAATTAATTCAAGTCTGCTACACGAATCATCGTCGTCATTCTACTCTATAAATGTTATATCCTCAGTGAGGTTATAAGTCTTTATGATAAGTTCTGATAAAGTTTTATGTTGGCTGCCCACTTAACACAACTCAACCCATATACCTAAGCATGAGACGGATTAAGAAAAAGTTCAAAATCATCAACCTTCTTGGACTATGTTTTTTATATAGTCTAAAGTCCTCGTATTCCTTAACAATCACATTTTCAAAATAGTTGCTCGAAAGATATCTCAAATAATTCTTGCTACCTTCGGCAAACCATCCATTTTCAATTGTTCCATAATATCATTGTGTCTCCTCGGGATCACCAGAGAAATGCCCATCAACCGAAATGTACCGAACTCAAAATGCAATAGGTAATAGGGCGATGAAGAAAGATGTAATCCACATTCTCCTCATCTTTTTTACATATAAAATAGATATTAACTACAGTTCTCAAAACAATTATAACAAAAATAAATGAATTAAAGATTGTGGTTAGAAGTATAGAGAACCTTGATATAATTATAATTGTTGTTTTTTTTTCTTATAAGTCTTTTAGTTTGGGGTGTGGTTTGTAGAGAGTCGAGGCTCTAAACAATCAAAGTAAAGCGCACCTTCAAATAGTGTCGAGAAATATGGTTTCAGTACTGAAAATCTTTGTGATAGCCTTAAAATATATTTTTCATCTTTAATTATAAAATTAAAAGCTTAAAAAATAGTGTACATAGAGCAGATCTATGAAAACTTAAAAATAATAAAAATTGACAGCCCAAAAATACATTACAAGATGCATTATTTTCAAAACTTGAAATCCATTTTTTTCTCATGTCCATGCATCTTGTAGTGAAATGTTCGAGGTGGTTTCTTATTTGATTGTTTAGAGCCTCCACTCTATAAAAACCTTTTCCTTTAATTTGTAATATAATTATCAAAAGTATAATTATTATCAACTATACTAGTAATATAATGTTAATATCCTAATAAATATTAATAATTACAAAATAATTAAAGTCAATTAAATATTGTCCATGTGTTATACTCATATAAGTAATAATGCAAATCTACAGTAATATCAACATAAGTATTATTATTTTAATTTATGATAAAATATTTATTGTTACTAAGATTACTTCTTTTTTATGAGCAAAGTGGTATGAATTGTATAATATTAATTGGCTTATCTTATGATTGATAAACATAATAATAATTGAATCAATGGACTAACTATAATTAAAAGGGATTGTAAACAATGAGACCATTTACTTTTTGGTATAGGAAGGTCACAATTACTTATAATCATCTGATGTGAAATCTGATAGATTGGGTGCGTCATTTGAGAAAATTTCTTTTGAACTTTTGGCTTGGTCAATGAAATAAATGCAGCCACCTAATTTCACATCCAATGGTCAAGATTAGTTGTGACCACCTTATACAAAAAGTAAATAGCCTCATCACATACTTTTCCTAGTTAAAATAATATTAAGTTTACACTATGGAATTTGATATATTATGCACTATCATAAACTATCGCATAAATAATTTACGCATTTTAGCAAAACACAATATATATACAACATTCTAGTGAAACCTATGAAGCTGGTGCATTTACTAGTTTATTCTAAATTATTTAAGCCGCAGTTACAAGAATAAATGGGGGCCCTATTCTTAAAAAGAAAATGGTTTCATGCGGGATGGACCACATGACTACATATGCAGTCCAAAAAGTGTAAAGCATCCATCTTAAAGATGGATGTAAGTAGGTGTTCCATCTAAAGACAATGGAAACTCTTAGTTCAAATTTTTTTTTACTAGAATTATTATTTCTAGTTTGTAAAATTTACTTATTTTTTTATATTTATGATCTCCATGTTAGTGATTACATGTCCTTAAAAATTAAGTCCAAAAATCCATTTCAAAAATCGATTTATTAATAGGCCCTCATTTCTACATATGAGAGCTTGGTTGCATAGAAACCGGGTCCTTCCTAAAAAGTATGTAGGGTAGACGTTCTTAAAAGGTAGTGATAGAACTCCTAAATTTTAGGTATTCCTACTTTTACAATAATTGTGATTTTTCCTTCCTATTATTCAAATCATATAAAGGGATTTAAGGGAGATTTCTAGATAGAACAAAGCATCCTTTGGTAATATTATCATTCAGATAAGAGATTTAAGGAAGATGTCAACCCAACTGATCCATTCATTGCTTTGGAGCTCAAGTTATGTTCCAACTTC